TAAACATTCTGTATGTTCATACGTATACATATATAAAAAAATATACTCTTATGTGAGAGAATGCCCTGTTGGAAAAATGTAGCATAACATATTAGAAAACCAAATTTTGGGACACTTTCATATAGAAACACAAAAATCTATCCTATTTATTCAACATTTTCGGTGCAGATCTTCAGCACTTTTAAGATAGAGACGATGATGGACATTTTACACCAAAAAACTTTTCTCTGGCAGTGGTGTAACCACGTCAGCATAATATAGTAGGTATTGTATTGAAGAGGAGTTTGTTAGTATTTCTTGGGTCAAGATTCCACAATCACACAGAATGTGCTCCGACCGATTTGATATTCAGTGATTCGGTTAGATGTACTACTAACTAGCTGTCTTAATGTTTTATGTCTAAAATTCGAAAGGTCTGGACGTTCTTAAAGGAAATGCTGGACAGTTTCTTAAAAATATTTAATTTAACTTGTTAATTAAATTGATTACCACATTTTGACAGGTGGCAACTCTCTTCGAAATTATTTCGAAATAGTTCGCTTTAGAAATCCTATGTTTGACACCCACAATATTGTAATATTTTATTTAACCTATGATTTAATTTACTATAACTTTTGAAAAAGGTGGAAACACTCAATAAAATATCCTGTATGTTAGACTAGGTTATAACCTATATATGTGTGCCAAATTCCATTTAAATACGTCCAGCCGTTTTAGCGTGAAAGATCAACAAACATACTCACACACTCACTCAAAAGCTTTCTTTTCTAAAACGCCGAAATATCTATACAAAATGGTTACACTTTTTTGTTAATGGTATTAGACTCTGCCTTTAAAGAACTTGCTACGTGAAAGTATGTAATTTCAAAAAATTTTTCTTTGAATATTTCTCCGATAAAGTCGCATGTTCTCTGTTGCTAGCGCTTTCTTTTATGGTTTATATAATAATTGTTATTGTTGTGTAAGCCTTTTATAAATAAATAAAGAAGTTGGTCATAAATTTTCTATTTGGCTTTTCTACATTTTCATATGATTATCTGTTACCTAGTTACCGTTTATATTAATATATGCATACATCCTAGGTTATTCCTTAAAATATCAACATTCAAATTTTGTATAGGCATCGCTTTATTTAGTTTTACGTACAAAATAAATACATCCACCAAAAATTCAAAAGATTAAAAAAATTTTTAAAGGTCGTTAACAGGGTTTGAAAAAATTAAACTTTTTTAAATCACAAAAATTCCACAAAATATCGACTTGAAATCCAATAAATTCGAGATATTACTGAAACTTGTTCGTATAAATTCATAAACTCGCGTTTTCGCTTGTCATATTCAAAATTTTGTCGATTTAAAACAAAATTACATTCTTCAAACTCTGGTAAGGACCCCAAATTTTTTGTTTTGAATATAGAAAGTTTCTTGGAGTCTTTTTTTTTGTACGTAGAACAAAATAGGGAGTGAGCCAAGATGTTTATACTTTTAAGGACCACCCTAATACATACTTGTTTTTATAAACTTAATTGTAACTATATTTTTTTATATAAATATATGGATGTACTTATCAGTGCTCTGAATTGCGCAATAAAAGATTAAATCTTAATGCGCATAAAGATTTAATCTTTTATGAATTGAAATGAAATTGCAATTATATGTAGAGGCTCCTGCTGATTAAACAAAAATATGCAAATATAGGACTCCATCTTAGATTGGCTGTGACCGAAATCATGGCTAACATGGGTTACATTTTTTTTTCATATTTTAGAGATTTATGTCCCGAAAAAATAGGCATAGAATGAAAAGACTGGCGATAATGTCTCTAAAAAAGAATGAAAATATTCTTGTTTAAGACTTTACATATTAATGAGACTAGGATCTGTCAAAAGTTTAGGCTTTAAGCTACTCTATCACCCTGCCGTGACACACAGATACGGCTCTGAAACTAAAGAAGGAATTGGCAGACCGCAGCCTAAAACTACGTCACATATTAGCCGGTGTAGCTATTACTTGCAGCAGGTCCAAACACGATCAGAAAAAATCACTAAAAAAGCGATAATGACAATAAGAGAATAACACTGGCCATCTGGTCAAATGATCTACATATGTCGCTTTTGCAACTCAGATGTAGAGACACCATTGCACCTGTTCCTTGGATGTAAGGCCGTTTTAAGACGAAGAGAGAGACACAATGTGGCCTCAGGCTTTACTAAACTTTGTCTGCAAATCAGGACTAGACGAAATTTCTAGAGTCGGGAGCACAATAGTAACTCTTTTTACAAGTTTTTATTATGTTTTACCTGTGTGTATTACAATTTTGCAAAAATATATGGACCGAGATGGTATATGTATATGTATGTATTACCTACATGAAAAGCAATAACTAAAAAAAAAAATACCCCGTATCTAATTATGGTGCGATTTGTTTCATATTCAGAACGTATATTACGTTATTGGAAAGAAACAAATCCACAAAAAATTTTGCTGTTAGGTGGTGCGGAGGTCGATTTTTTTACTAACTACTAATAAAAGTTTGCCTTTAAAGAATTGTTTTTAACGTACTTATTTATTACCTTTGTGACTTGGGATCAAGCCTGGACGACGCCGAATGCGCAGTAACCTCGGGGTAACGTCGCGTGTTCGTATACACGAATCTAAAGGCGAAAATTAAGCGAAAATTGAACACTGTTTCTTAATGAATCACTTAAAATTCTATACGCTAAATTACACTTTATTTTCGCCTTCAACTTCGTGTTTACGAACCGCTACGCTGCACCGAGGGTACTGCGCAGTCGGCGTCGCCCAGGCCTGCTTGGGATGGAAAGAGTTATGATAAAAATTACAATTTATTTTTTTAAATTGGGTTTTTTTCGAATATATTTTATCACTATTTTAGGATTCCTTTTTTTTTAAATAGAATAGTCGTACTATAAGGCTCTAATTTAGGGATGTTTTGCTGACATCTCTAGTACATTGGACCGTCATTCCAGTTTTTCAATTGTACAAAAAATAGTGGTGACTTTGACCAAAAAATTTAAATGGCTCCAAAAAGTTCCGTTAGAAACATAATTAGCTCAGTTGCAGTCATTTATTTCAAGTTTTCTACAATTTTGCTAATAACATATTTTGTTGTGAAACATTATCTGAAAAATCCTATGCAAATCGATGCATCGAAAAATATCGATTTACATTTCGATGCATCGAATCAAAGAAAAACATCGATGTATTTTTATCACTGACATCCCTACACTAATTTTTCCGATTAGGCATAACCAGGGATGGAAAATAATCATGATTTTTTTCTAATTGCAACCAAAAAAAATCAAGAAGTTGTAAGCGTCGTAAAACAGTTTTAACTATTAATAAAATACATATTTGTATTCGTAAGACCTGCTGAACCCTGAATGATTTTTTTCGAGTTTAACTATTAAAAATTAAAAATAATAATTAGTATTCGAGTTTTATTTTTTTGTTCAAAAGAAATTATTATTACCTGATTTTTATTTTTCGATCAAAAATAATGATTATGCAATAATTTTTATTTTTTAGGTCAAAGATAATAATTATTATTGAGTTTTATTTTCTCACTTAAGAGTTATTAGATACTCAAAAAACTCATATCTATACTAGCATGATTTCCGACGAATCCTCCTCAGCGGTAGGTTAAAATTCAAGTTGGTTGCGTCTAAATGGCCTTTGAAAATTTTATAAATAAATACCTACAGCTGTATACAGCCACACACACAAAAAAGTGTTAGAGTTCGGAGTACCGCGATCAGACTATCCTTTCCTTATGTATTTTTATGCGCTCAACACGAAAACCCGTTTCGCTTCAATGCGTCGGAATTTTTTTCTAACCTCAAGAAACGTGTATGTCACATATCCGAAAAGTTTTTTGGTGTTAGGAAAAAATCCTGACGTGTTAGAGCAAAACGGACTTCAGATTCGTGTTCAGGGCACCAAAACACATGAAAGAAGAGTATTCCTGTCAAAAGTGCATGATACTTTTTTCTGGGCTGTGTAATCGTTATTTTTGGTAACTATTATCTTGTAGTGAAGAAATGAAGATCATAAACAAATTATTTCCGTTGAGCAAAAAAATAAAACTTAAAAATAATTACTATTTTAAGCAAAAAAATAAAATCATTTAATGGCGATTTAAATTATTTTGCTTAAAATGACTACAATAACAACTATTTTCAGATTTAGCTTTTTCGCTCATGAAGGCTTCAAAGCGATCATAACAAAGAAATTATAATAGAAAAATTTCGTAGTAATTAAAAATTTCAAGAATACAAGTTTATTTTTTTAATAAAAGAAACATAAAATAACGGTTTCGCATAGATGAAAAATAAAATTTTTTCAAATAAAAGTGCCCAAAAACTTCAAAATAACGGTTATTTTTTGTCTCCTCCTTAAACGAATAATAACCAAATCGATATAAATATGTATATACACTAGAGTGGTCCAAAAAAAGTTAAGATTGTTCTATATCGAAAAAATACAAACCTCTTTTTTTATTTTGAGACCAGAAAATATTTAGAGGTCGCTCAAAGCGCTCAAAATTGTCCATGTATTTTATATGGAGAAAAACAATTTTCCATACAAAAGGTATAAAATTCATCAAAATCAATATTTTTCGATTGGGAAAACTCTGTTTCTCTTCAGGAGACTTCCAATAATAATACAAAATTGCTTATTTAACCATACAACTCTTGCAAAATAACAGAGTTTTCACATTATTCGCTGAAATATTTTACAAATTTGATATTCAAGCTCTACAGTTTCAACAACGATTTTCGGCCAAAGTCACCAAAGTTGAGTTTTGAGGGAATTCTTCACGTGCCAGTTATGTATGGGTAACAGAATTTCGACTATTCAACTTTTTCCTACCGGGTGTGTGCTATTGCTGAATAGTGTGTGTTTGTGTGCGCTTCCATGCCTTCCGCTGACAATTCGACAGTTGACTTAAATTTTCTTTTCATTTACGGCAAACTTAAGTTAAGTAGTTTGCCCATTGAACAGTTCTCGACGAGAGCTCCAGCTGAACGGTCGGTTTTGGAAAACTACCAATCGAGAGTCGACAATTGGTTAAACGCGCTTTAAGCTGCTGCTATGCATTAGGGTAAAACACTGTATTTTAATAAAATACAAAAAGACTATAAACAAAAAAAGTGTATAAAATACATAATAAAGTGTATGTATGTATGTATGTACAAAAATGTGTTGATACAAATTAAATGCATTTTTGCGAGGTGACACAAATATTTGGATAATTCGTGAAAAAGTGCAAAATAAGCGAAAAGTACAAAAGTTGTTGCATTTAAAAAAAAAAACAGAACAAACAAAACAGCTTACAAAAAAAAATAAAATCAGTGCAGAAAAATGACTGAACGATATGCTAATGGTGTTACCAACAGTCTGGTGAATAGTTCGCCACCTGTTGCAAGCAATGGTGCAGCTGCCGCCTCCGTCGCCAATGGCCATGGCAGCGGTAATGCTGCAGTCGCCGCTGACTACTCGGACGACGGTGATAAAATCGTATTAGAACGTAAATTGACGCTAATGAATGGAGTTGCTATAATTGTGGGTACAATTATTGGCTCGGGAATTTTTATAGCGCCAACAGGTGTCTTCATATATACAGAGTAAGTAGATGAAATTAAATTAATGGTTATTTAATTGATTTATTGCACTAAAAATTAAATGAAATCTGATCTCTATGTAGTAAGGCGAGGATTTAAGCAAAAATAACAAAAATTTTTTTTAAAGGTGAGGCCATGAGAGTCAGTGTAGCTGAATCACATTTAAAAAAATAGAAATGCTGCCTTTAATATAGTATAACTAGAAAAATATTACTTATAGTTGCAATTTCAATATTTCTTCGATATTCAAAATGTTTTCCATGGTGAATTTTTTTCTTTGATTTGTTATAAAAGTGTTGGCTCATTCTACACTGAAAACCATGTAAATCAAAATTTCAAACTTTGGAGAAAATTAAGGAAAATTTAACACATTTTTATTAAAATTTCCAAGTTTTTAATCAGATATAAAAAAGAGTATACAATTAATAGCCCTTTTGTGCTCTGTAATTTTACAATGGACCCTTACTGGAAAATTCTGACTAAGATAGTTACAAGTCTTTTTTAAGACAACTGAAAGGCAGTAGCCAAGACACTTAAAGATTTTTTTCTGCATGAAAGTTTTACAAAAAAAAACTCCCATGCCAACTTAGATGGTGAAAAGCTCTTTTGACAGAAAGCACTTGAGCATGTTCCATTCGAGAGATCCGAGATTCGAGTCCTCGGGCAAGGGATTTCTTTGTTTTTTAATTACGTTTTTTTTATTCTTTTTTAATTTAAATTAAAGCATTAAAATTTAAAAAGGAAAAAAATATTTTTTAAATTTCATTTAATTTTTAGAAACTTATGTTATTTACATGTTTTTTAATTCTTAAATAAATTTTTTTCTTTATTAATTTAATTTGAGATTTTTTAAAAAATGTTTGTTTTTGGTTATAGGCCTTTAAATTGTAAACTGATGTAATTTTTATTTGAGAAGCTCGAGGCCTAGAGAATACATAAAACACAGGTTTTAGGAGGTCAAATAAAAATTACATCATTTTTGAAATGAGTAAATAAAAAAATTTTATTTTAAGATCATTGAAAAAGTGTTATTTTTTGATTTTAATTTTTTCGATCACGAATAATTCGATCAAAATAAACGGTATTTTAAATTAAATTTTTTCGTTTTTATTTAATTTTCTTTAACTTTAGATTTTCTTTTTTAATTTAGTTCTCTTTTAGTTTTTAGATTTTATTGCCTTCAGAAGAAAAATATTTTTTCAATTTCATTTAATTTTTAGGAACTTATTTTATTTTTGCTTTTTTAATTAATTTCTTTTTATTTTTTGATATTTTTTTAGTTTTTTAATGAACTTTTTCCATTTTTAACTTTTGTTTTTTATTGTATTGTTAAAATACACACAATTTCAATCAGTGTTTTGAAAAACAAAAATGAGCTTTCAAGATACGAGTTGCCAGACTGGACAAATGTCTCACTCTTACGAAAGACTTTTGTCGTTTTGGTGAGTTGAAAGACATTTGCCAGAATTGCCTTATTAGCCTGTAACAACGACTAACGGGACTACCATTTAACGAAATGTCGATTACTTATCAAAATGATAACAAACACGCAACGACAACGAAACTAGTTTTGCTAACTGTAATCGATATATACATATGTAGATATCTGTGCCAGATAAATTGATTTTATTAATTAATATCATAATCTGTGCTAATATTTTAGTTCCCGTACACGTTATATGGGTACCACGATTTACGTCAGAGCATTGATAACGGCAACTTTCTGGCCACCATAATGGAACATACTTTTATGGAAAATTAAACTGGTACACCTTTTCCACAAACAAAGGAGTATAGATTGATTTTAATATGTAGCACATACACCGCCAACTAGATATCAATTGTGCCCTCCTTTTCTTTCTTCACATCACTTCTTATAAGCCTAAATTCCACAGAAAGTTAGGAGAAGTTAAGAAGAGGGAGATAGAGATAATTTTCTCATAATGTCCTGGGTCGAATCGCAAAAGCGACAAAGATCATTCAAACATATTCTAAGCTCATTCTGATTCCTTCTAGATGTAAAACCCACATTGAGCAGGTCTATAGTCCTTAGGGAGAGGAAGTTAAATGATGATAGAGCTATCGAGAGTTGGATACCCGGTATCGGAGATAGATAATGTGCAAGCATCGCAAGCGGCCATGCATTGTACCAGAGCTAAAGATATGAATGGAAGGGAACATCGACGGCATCCAAGCCAGTGTTGCCAGTAACTGGGCTAATAAAATCCCGTCTAAATACAACCTAAATCCCGTTTTATACTAAAGTTATAACAGAAATCCCGCGCTGTATGTATCTGTTATACATAAAATACATTCGGATGAATAACACAAGTATGAACATAGATATGCAATATACATAGAATTTATATACATTAGGGCGGGCCAATTTTTTTGACTATGCGCGTACAGCATAAGAGAATTCCACTTATAATTCTAAGCAACTTTGCCGAAGAATCCATGGGTCTAAAATCAATTAGGTGTTTGCCATATTGCGAAAATAGGTTTAGAAGAATACACAACTTCACCACGAGTTCCCACACGTTTCTAACTTCAACATCTTATTTTTCCCAAATTACTTTTTGTATAACTCATAAACTTGCTATTACAATTCATTTAAAGTGAATGAAATTCCACTGACAGGGATCATATGAACGGCGTTAATTTACCACAGAGAGCACCTTTTTAACGGTTGTTTGTAACAGACAAAACGAATCGAGATAGATATAGACAAATGTACACATAAATGCTAAGAATGAAAAGAGAAGTCGATTAAGCCATTAAGCCAAGTCCGTCCGTCCGTGTACACGATAACTCGAGCAAAAATTGAGATATCTCAACGAAATTCGGTACGTAGGTTTCCCTTTACCCAAGGTAGGTTGGTATTGAAAATGCGCTAAATCGGAATGTGACCACGCCCTCTTCTCATATAACGGTATTTTCGAAAAATGCAAAAACTACGATATTTCAGTAAATATTGGATCCACATCGTTGAAAATTAGAATGTGAAGTCGAATTTTGATAAAAAAAATAGTATTATTATGAAATTTTTGGAAATTTTTGCCCACTAAAGATGAAATGCTGTATCTCAGTAGCCGCTTCACCAATCCTTCCCAAACTCGGTACGAGCCTTGCCTAAGGCCTAGCTAAGAAATATGTTGAAAATCTTTGAAATCGGGCAATAACCACGCCAATCTCCCATATAACGGTAATTTACAGAAAGACGAAAATTGCGATAAATCCCTAACTACTGAAGCTAATTGACTCAAAATCGATAATTACAATAACCACTTAGCACAAAATTAGATTATTATGCACTTTTGGATAATGGGCGTGGCTCTGCCCACTTTATGACTACAAGGTGTATCTCGGTAACCACTTTATAGATTTCTACGAAACTTGGTTCAATTACTTCATTAACTCTAACTCAGCATATTATCGAAAAAGTTTGAAATCGGGAAAAACCCCCTTGGTTATCACGCAAATGTAGTTCAGAGAAAGTTGAAACGCCGATATTGATAGCTGCGCCGGCTATATAAAGTTCGGTCTCGCCCGAACTTATACTTCTTTACTTGTTCTTATTTATCAATTACTAAATTTTCTTGCTTGGTATGGTATACAAAAAATCCCGATTTTCGACAGAAAATCCCATTCGCCCTTTTAGTCATAAAATCCCGAAAAAAGGGCGAAATCCCGCAAACTGGCAACACTGATCCAAGCCAACTTCTATCCAAGGGCACAGTAGATCTCCTGGTCGCAGTGCATTCATCAACTGAATATCTGTCTATCTATCCTGCTATTCAACTCCGAGGACCAAAAAGCCGATGGTAGAAAAGAGCCGAAACCCTCGATATACCTTGATTCGGCTACTTTGAAATAATCTCCCCAAGGACATCCTGTCTAACCTTTTCAAAGGATTAGCTTTATCTTACTTAGAGCGCACCTTAAATGATGTGTTTCATACAAATGTCCATGGTTTTTTAGTTCATTCCTGCGAGCTCAACGAAAAATGTGTACGTGAAAGCAACAACAGTGAAGGTTCCTATAGCAAATACCTCTGCTAAGATCTCCGCTAAACTGAGTGACCCTATGCACGTTTGAAAATAACTTTCTTTCCAGATATTACACCACTCCGAAATCTTCTTAATTGGAAGCTGGTAGGGAAGAATCCGCTAGAATCCAACCTAAAGGTACACTCTGAGATCCAAGCGATAAAAAACTGAATGTTTCTAAGAATTTGCAAGTGCAAGTGTGTGTAGCGCAAGTGGCTAGTGTGTAAATATTGAAATTGGCTTTCAACTAGGGCTGGGAGTTCTATCCAGATTTTTTGAATGTCCGTATTATCCGAATATCTGTTTAAATAAATGATAAATGAGCTGATACTAACCGGTTAGCAAAATTAATGGATATTCGGAAAATAAAATAATTTAATAATAATTATCCGGATATCAATTAGAACGGTAATAACCGGATATACGGATAGCAAATTTAACGGATACTAACCGGATATCCGGAAACAAATATAACGGATATTAACCGGATATCCGGAGAAAAAATAAAATACTGGAAAAATATGCCGAATAACAAAATTTACGGATATTAACCAGCATTTGTATGTATGTATTTACATATGTATTATACATATGTACATATAATATTCTTCAACTATTCCAAAATTTTAGTTGATTTCAGTCCTATTGCCTTTCAATATTTGGCCCAAGAATACAAATTACTACACAATTGGGTTTTTTTTTTCATAGCAAAAAGTGTGTGAAAATTCCATAGCCCTCACGTGTACTTTCATAATCTTACAAATGGGCTATGAATCAACGCTCGTTTGAAATTTCATTAATTGACTCAATTGCTATTATGTAGGTATGTGCATATGTATGTACATTAAACTGGTCCAATTTTTGTATGGGGAAAAAAATTTCATCATAGAAAACGGGGCACCCCCTTAGTTTTTTCTTTTCAATATTTGTATTATCTATACCAACTTTTAGCTTTCTACTGCAATCAATAGAGGGTGTTCAATGACCTCGAAATGCGCTACTGGATCACTGTGAAACTGGCAAAAATATTGGTGATTTTTATAAAGAGGTACTGTTGCCATGACAACTGATGCTGGTGATATTTTTTTAGATAATTTAAATTTGAAATTGGACCTAGATCCAATTGTGTGATTAAATAATATATGTACGCGATACTTCTAGAGTAAAATAGCATCCTCTAAATTTATACTTAGAAACGTAAGGTTTGGTACCAGCACCTATTTCGGCAAGAGGAAAAATGTTGGAAGGTGCCCCAAACCCTATCTTGGAAAAATTTTTTTTGGACCACGCTAATGTACATACATATGTATTTACATGTGTATATGTGTATAAAAATATCGAAGCACTTATTTAATCAATTTCGTAAAGAAAAATTTATCTTCCCTTTCTCAGCGGCAATTCAACAATACGACGAATTTGCTAAATAAAAAAAGAAAAACTTACTCAATTTATGGTTATTATACATAAGGTTTACAGTAAATAACTATACATATATGTACATACATACGCAGGAAATTTCCAAAGATTTAATTGATAATAAATGAGAATCGGAGACTTGAAGTTTGCATACTTAAATTAAATTATTATTCAATCATTTTCAATTTAAAGGTCTTTAAACCCTCTAAAACAGGCAGAATTTCCGAAAAACGATTGCAAAATTAAATTACTAGCAATGAAAATTCTTGTATGCAGTTGGGTAGATATTCAAACAAGTTTGTTATTTCCAAACAAAAAAACGGCGAAAAACATAAAACAGTCAAATCCATAAATGGCTTCAAACAACTCATTCGCAATCACACAAACTGCCAATTACATATTTACATACATACATATGTATGAACATAGCTACACTTTCATCAAAAAAGCTTGTAATTTACAGCTATGCATGCACATATATGCAGTTAGTAAGTTATGCAAGTGCAGCAGACTTTTAATTAATTCTTTGCAACTAAAATCAAACATTTCGGGGAATACCCGTGCGTATACGTATCATTTACTTTGCATTGATCGCGTCTAGCCGCAATAATTGTGTGTTCAACATTTTTAAATTGTTGCTTTTGCTTTTGTAGCTATTTCTGATTTTTTTGCTTCTATTTTACAGATCCGTGGGTTCGTCTTTGGTTATTTGGGCTGCCTGCGGCATACTCTCGACGATCGGTGCGCTTTGCTATGCTGAATTGGGTACGAGCATCACGCGTTCGGGCGGCGATTATGCATATCTGTTGGTGGCATTTGGACCGCTAGTCGGTTTTCTAAGACTATGGATAGCTTTGTTAATCATTAGACCAACAACACAGGTAAGTTGTACATATGTGTATTTATTATCGAAATGTAAGATATGAGCATATAAATAGTATTTATATATATATATATGTATATATATTAGGGTGCCTCATCAAAAAAAGTTGCGTGTTTTTCACTGGAATTACAAAATGTATTACATTTTAAGACTTTCGCGAAAATATTTCGGAAACTATTAAGATTTACGTGAGCTAGACCGATTTGAAAATATGTATGTACCTCCAAAAATTTAACAATTTGATTCCATTGTTAAAATTTTTAAACATGTTTATTCAGACCTTTTACGCTTAAACTCTTCTACAATATGAGGTAATTTTTGGAAAAAAAATTGAAAAACTAGTCTTGCTTATGAAATACCTAGATATTTGGATGTATCTTCAAATGTGTCCGACTCGCGCAATATTAATTTTTTTCCCGAAATATTTTGGCGGAAGTCATAAAATGTGATAAATTATAGGTATAATTTCAATGGACAGACACTACCGATTTTTTTATGGAAAGTCATGTACCCCAAAGTACATATATGCTCATATCTATGTATGTATATGTAAATGAAAAGGTAAAAAAAATCACAAAAAATTTTAACGCTAACAAAATTATGTATATATCGATGGCTGAATGGAAGATCGACCTATCTCGGCAGCCGGTTCGAAAACGCGCGATCTGAGAAAATTTGTCAAGAATAACCTATTTCAGAATTTGTTTGAAGAACGCCCCATCTCGGAATTTGATTGAACATTGCTCTATTTCACAATCTGGTTTAAAAGGGAACATATCTCAACATATTTTCAGTTTAGATAGGGCGTTTTTGAATTAGCAAAATTCGAGAGAGAAACATCTTGGAATGCAGTTTTAAGTAGCTAGGCCTTACCGTTGATTTTTGGAAATTTTTTGCCGATGTTGTTGCGCATTTTCTTCCATACAAGTATGAGCAACACTGTCAGCAAAAGAAATTCTCAAAAGTCAACGCGAATTCTTAGCCATTTGAAACTTGCACAATATTATTCGAAAATTGCATACGCAAGTTTTTTCTAGAAATTCTTATTAGAAAGTTTGAAATTTTAATGAGCATTTTTTGGAATTTGGCGAATTTCTATAAATTTTGTACAAGCCTTGAAACTTGGTTGTCGTTGTGTTATTAAATATATTAAAAAAAAAAGTTAAAACTATATAAAGAAAAAATAAATGGTCACAACTTGTCCGTAATTATGTGGCCACCACTGTAGATCTTTGTATTTTTGCGTTTGGACCCACATACATTTATAACGACAATACCCCGAATAGGGATGAAGACCTGTAGCGCACTTAAGTTTAGTCGGATAACTTTTTCATTTTCAGTGACACTTTCTGTATAATAAAATTTTTGCTTAACATTTTTGTAGAAACTACAACTCTTTATCTGTCACTTTTAATCATATAACATGAGACCCCTTTAAAATAGGGACATAAAAAGCCCTTTAGGGTAAGAGATAGAGGATTAAAATGTTCTGCAAAACAAGTAATTTTTAGCAAAAAAAAAAACCGAATTAAAAAAAATATATATATCTATATATTTCATGATTCAATGATCGGACCTAAACCAAATTAGTATGGGACCACATCTGAGACACTACCTTTCCGTTGCAAAAAGAATGATCGACGTGGTCCAAAGTTATGCGGTAACATACATAAAAAAAAATAAAAATATTCCGACGAACTGATAACCTCCTCCTTTTTTGGAAGTCGGTTAACAAAAATTACTCGTCAAAATTTAACGCAGGAGTCTAAGGTCAGAAATTATTATTTAAGTCGTTTTATACATAATATCGACAAACTGATTCCACTTTTCGCCAAAATGTTAAAACTTTAACGCTCTCTTCGGCAAAGTAGGTCCAGGGAGACATTATCTTTCCTAATATATGGCGTTTGTTCGTGTTGAGTAACCAGTGTTGGACAGCGTTATCTAAATACCTATCTATCTAATTATCTTACTTAAACCTTTTACTTTCGAAAACACAAATAAACTTCACTTTACAGCTTCCTTTTACTTTTGCAGTGGAGTAGGTCAAGTTTAGTAAGTTCGCTAGACCAGCAATGCATATCAATTTGACAGATACATGCAATTGAATGTCAATATATGTATGTGTGTAGTGGCATTATTCATTTAATGTACATTATTAACATATGTTACAATTACATTGCGCATACATGCATACACTTGCGGCCAGACAAACGTAACCACCACTTAAAAAATTTGCCTTAGTTTGTGAAAATCAATAAAAAAAATAAATAACAAAAACTATAAAAATAAAAGATTTAAACTTCATACAACAGTTGGAAAAATTCATCAAATTTAAAAACTTTTACAAAATTTTCGGGTATTTTTTTTTTGCGTAGGTTTTTCCTTGCTTTCTATATGGGAACAAATGCTTAACCACTTCAAACTTGCACTTTATATTACTAAAATTAAATGGGCTTTTAAACTGGATACGAGATTTTTTCTTAAAATTTTTTATTATAATCTCAGATTTTTATGAATTTTTCTAAATGTTATGCACAATTTTAAATTTTTATATGTATATTAAAAAATATTAATTTACAAAATTCTAAATATATTTTTTTAAGTGGTGGTAAAGTTTTTAGCAACTTTAAACTTGCACTTCATTAACTAAAATTAAATAGGCTATTGAAGTGCATACTTGAAATTTTCCCAAAAATTTTATAAACTTTTCTAAGTTTTGTACAAAGTTTTAAACTTTTATTTATACATATAGCTTTTGTTACAGTGTGAAATATATTACAAAAAAAATAATATTTTGTTTATTACATAATTTAAGGTTTTGAGCTACTGCAAACTTGCTCTTTATTATACTAAAATTAAATGGGCTACTAAACGGCATACTCCATTTTTTTTAATCTTTTATAAAAAAGTTTAAGATTTTGATGAATTTTATAAATTTGGTACAAAATTTTAAGTTTTATTTACATATATGTTTTTTTGTTACAGATTGAGCTATGTATATTAAAAAAAAAAATATTTAATAACTTTTTTTTAATAATTTAAAAAGTTTACCTAATTTTTTTTTAAGTGGTGATAAGGTTTCTGGCACATTAATTTACTAAAATTAAATAGGCTATTCAATTACATACTCCAAATTTTGATTAAAAAGTTTAAAATTTTGATTAAATAGTTTAAAATTTTCATAAAAATTTTATAAATTTTCTAAGTTTTGTAAAAAGTTTTAAGATTTTGTTTATTTAGTTTTGTTACAGTGAGAACTATATTAAAAAAAATATTATTTTTATTAATTTATAAAGCTCTACCTAATTTTTTTAAGCGGTGGTAAGGTTTGCGTGGCCACAAGTGTAAATATATATATACGCATACATATGTATCTATATAGTAATTTATGATTTTATTCACCACTTTAATATTTAGTTAAGGAAAAAATTATTTACAACAAAAATATAAATAAAAACTTTGTAATGCATTTAATTATTTTTCTCATTACTAATATCTTACACGTATTTCGAAAGTGCATTAACTCGAAATTGCACAGTTGTCAGGAAATAGGAAATACTGCTTCTAAGAGCGTACCAATCATACTATAAAGGACGAATTTTTAAAAAGTCTTTAAAAAGTCTTTGGGAAATATGAATTGAATTTTCGGTCAATATCGTAGGCTCGCCCAAGTCAATCAAAGTTCAGAGTGTTCAAACAATTTTTTTCTTAACTTACTTCGATCAAAATTTAACTATCTACCAAAACAACTTTTATTAACAAAATAACTATTTTAACGAACATATCAACATTTAAATAATAAAACTTGAAATTTGATTTTACCAAAACTTTTATAAAATAGACATAATGTAAGAGTTTTTTCTTCATGAAAAAGAACTTATTTGTGAGGAATTAATTTCGTATACAAATACATACAAACTATAAATTTATTAATTTTCACCCATAAATATTACGTTCATGGCTTTTCTAACAAAAATCGCAATTATCTTCCCCTAAAATTATTTGTTTTTTTACTAATCTGGTTTAGATCCGATCATTGGATCATGAAATAAATATATATATAAATATTTTTTTTAAGTCGGTTTTTTTGCTAAAAATTACTTGTTTCTATTAACAACTCAAATTAGAAATGCATTTTATATAAACTGTGAACATTTTTAGTACCTAAACCAATTTGAAGTTAATACACTTTTGAAAATAGTACGCGATGTGGCCACAATGTATACATTTATTGTTTTGTTTACCAATGCATCTACAAAAACGTTTACATATTATATTTAATTACGTACATACATACATATGTATGTATGTGTGTATGCACGATAGCTCAATTAATTCTACAAATTTATATTTAATTACCCGCAATAAACGGCGTTGAAATCGAATAAAAACCATAATACAGATGTACGTACATTAGGGTGCCTCAGCAAAAAATATTGCGAGGTTTCCAGCGAAATTATAAAAATGTATTATAATTTATGACTTTCGCCAAAGAAATATTTAAATTTAGTTCTAAAAGAATTTTTTTTTTAAAACTCTCCCTACATCTATTAAGTTTAGACTCTTCCATCATCTGAGAGATTTTATCATCATCGTACAAAAACAAAACAACTTTCACTTCTTTAAAAGACTCAACCCCAAAATTTTTTCTTGGCTACTTATCGAAAATTTAGTTGACACCTGTGTTAGGAAAAATTGTTATCTTCAGAGATATGAAGGTTTTAAATATGTATGAACTACGATTATTTACCGAAATGAGCCATATTAGAAAATCAATATCTTTGGTTCTAGTAATCGTACAAAAATGGTTGTTTTGTTTAATAGCCAAAATATTTGCTAGATAACTGCGTAAAATTAGTATTTTAATTATATGTTAAAAAAAATCAACAATTAATGGAATGGATCGAAGAATATATATGATATCCGCTACAATTTTATCTAAAAAACGAAATTTTTTCTAGGATGGAGCCTCTTATAGTTCAAAGGGTATTAAATTATATCTGGTGTTAGTCACCAAAATATTTACCAAGAAATTTTTCATTTTTACAAGCATTTACTATGTTTCACATGTTTTTAATCAATCTTTATACATAGCTCAGAACCCGATGACAATTCAATATGAATGATGAATTAATCCGCTAGGTGGCACAGGTGTCGAGATATTTAAAAACCTCTTATTTATGGTCGGATATGGTTCATATTTGGAATGCATATTACTCATGAAAAGCAATAACTCCACAAATATTTTACCCGATAGGTGGCGCAGGAGGCCAGATATTTGGAAAATCCGTATCTGTGGTCCGATTTATGAGTTGAGTTAATGACTTTTTTTGATTTGATGTAAAAGATCGACAAGCCACGTCCGACAATAGATTATTTTATACCATTTTAAATGCCTATATACCCTCTTCTCAGATCATCGAACTTTTAAATCGAATCAAAAATAGTCATTCAAAAACTGATAAATCTACAAAATCGTATTTTCTGACCTAAATCGACAGGTCGCGAACTCCAAATGACCTTTAAAAAATCCATAAAAATAGACAATAATATTTCTCATAAAAACGAATAAAATTAGGGGGTAGGGTCTTGAGATTTCCAAAAAAAAAAAACAATTTCGAGGGGCACCCTAACATACATATGTACATATATTGTAATTTTTTAATTGCTCAACTAAGTTCTTAATATTTTTTCTAGACAATCGTCGCTTTGACTTTCGCACAATATGCGGCAAAACCATTCTTCGAGGACTGTTCCCCACCAGATTCAGCCGTAAAAATTTTAGCGGCAGTTTGTTTGTGTAAGTAAATTGGCAGAAGTACGCCATGCACCAGGTAAATGAATTTTTTATGCTGACAAAGAAATACAATATTTTACTTAACTAATTATGGAATGCAAGACAACAGCGAATACACAAATATACCTTCAGGTATATCTATAATATTTATACATTTTTTTTTTTGCATTTGTAAATATTATCTTTGACAACACATCACTCATTTTACATACTTGTCAGCGTAAATAAATCATTTGCGGTTTACTATATTACGTATTTGCAATTGTAATTCAATACTTACTAAAAATAAAGCAATTTCTCATTACACGTATTTACATATTTTTAGGTTTGCTCACTGCCATTAATTGTTTATCTGTCAAATGGTCGATGAAAGTTCAGGATATCTTCACTGCTGGCAAACTCTTGGCGCTAATTATGATTATTTTGGCGGGCCTATACTATTTGATGTTGGGTCGCTTTGAGAATTTCGAAAATGCTTGGGAGGGTAATTATGATGCGGCTAATATCGGATTTGCTTTCTACTCGGGTCTTTTTGCATTTGGCGGCTGGAATTATTTGAACTTTGTGACCGAGGAGCTGCAGGATCCATACAAGTGAGTATATGAACTATAACTGGACTACTATTTATAGCATTAAATGGTAGCAAAAGGGCTGCTGGTTGTAAAAAGGTTCGAAATTATTGGGTGTGTCGCAAAAACGCAGAATTCAAAGTCTGTAAAATAGGGGAGGAATCCAAAGGAATACTACCAACAAAGGGAAATGCATATCTGTTCTAGCCGTTAAGGAGTTATTAACTCTAGCTTTACCGAAAATTTAGTGGTACATTCAAACCTGAATTTACGAACCTACGCACTGCTGAACAATTTCGTATGACTTTACGATTAACGGATATCCAGCTCTACAGGGAAAATGCCGTCATGCCACAGCTTGATGTCGTAGATAAATACAAGACTGCTGACAACATCGCTGTATAGAGATAATGGATGAGTCACGATTGCAAACAAATTTACAGCGTGCGACATCTATTACAGCTGCCATAAAATGGTGCGACGCACAAAGCTGGTGTGGGATTTATGGTGATTCCGATACCTTCCCTTCAGGTTCATCCCAATCAATCAAAGGGTTAAATATAAAAACAACAACCTAGTTTGTATGCACGCCCCGACAGAGGAGAAGTACGATGGGACGTAAGAGCTTTTTTATGAGCACCTTGGAGATGTTTACGTTCTTAAGGCCAGGGTTGGCAAATAAATCATATTTGGCCCAGCTATCTAGCAACGAAGTATAAAAACATCTATAAAGCTACTAGAAAGATCGACGCCGCGAAGCTGCAGTCACAATTTGCAGCCGATTATATGTAAATCAGCAGTGGGAATTCATTTCCCATTCTCGTCGTATAGCTGCGGAAAAAA